CTCCCGCGGGAGAGGGCGGACACACCTGCGGGCGGAGGAGCTTATTGCACACTGTCCTCCCTGACAGGAGGGGGCCTGGCAGCGGGAGGGCACGGGGTGCCGGCCTGGGGAGAGAGAGGAGTGCGAGGGCCGGGAGGGAGGAACGTCGGGGAAGCCACTCCACCGCCCGGTCACCCCCCCAACCCCGCCTCACCCCTGGGGCTGTGCGCAGCCCTCGCCATCGTGGGAAGCTCCCTGGCTAAACACACAAATGTGACTTGTCCTGCACCACCAGCCTTTCCTAGGGATGAGGAGCGCCTTCCACTACTGTCATGTTCGGTGCTTCGCTTGTGAGCAACACCCGCAGATAGACCAGACTGTGGCTTAGGTTGGGGAGTAGCCTCTGAATGCATTTCCTCAGTTCCCTAACTGGCCCCTGAGAAAGGGGTTTCTGTGATCCACTGGGCCAGGCTACTAGGGACCAGAATTAGGGGCATCAAGTAAAAGCACGCCCTCTTGCCACAAATACTCCAGGAAATAAATAAACCTTCAGAGCTTTGTTTAACTCATTATGTTTCAGAGGCTTATTTTCTGTAAAAAATGTACTTAGGTCCTGTAAAACCCATGAAGCCCAGCTTGGCTGAGATGGCCAGGCTATACACAGAGCATGGTTGTCTACAGATGGCTGTGAGATTGGTTTAAAAAAAAAGAAGAAAGAAAAAAAAAAAGGTGTGTGGGCCAGAAGCCATGCAAAGTAGCTGCTTTCCTGAATAATTGTTGTGTATCTTGGGCCTGCCCTGACTGCATCCTGAGTTAACTACACCCTTGCTCTCTTCTGACCTTTGCTCTCTCTCCCAGACACTGTCTGCATCTGGCTCTCCTCTCGTCCTCTTGTCCCCCTTCCTGCTTTGCTCAGTTTATTCATGCAGACGTGTATCATGAGAGATGAGGGAAAGGGTGTTCTGGGTCTCACTTGTGCACGTGTGCATGCATAAGTGATTAGAGTCAGGCTCAGAGCGACAAAACCAGCATCAACATGTACCAAAGCAGGTGGCCATTAGCCTCCAGTCCCGCATCCCCTCCAGCCATCTCCCTCCACGGACCTGTTTATCTGATGACTCCAGAGTGGGAGTGGGAGTCTGTTTTCACTGCTGTCCCCCAAGCTAACTACGGAAGGAGAGCAAAGCTAAGCCCTGGCCCCGCCTGACTGCATCCACTCTCGGCTCTCACACATGCACCTCTGGCACCGACTCTAGGGGGACACTCAGATTCGGTGGGTCTTTGGAGGAAAGAAGGGCAAAGCTGAGAGGAGAGGGAGGACCTCAGAGCTGTCTTGGGTGAAGCCAAAAGGAGAGATGGCCACTGGGTAGAAGTTTGCAGAAAACAGCAGCCCAGCTTCCTGGAAAGACAGTGTTTCTGGGAGTTAAGGATCTGGAGTGTTTCTGAGCTCAGGGGAGCTGGCCCCCCTCATCTAGCTAGTAGGACAAGGGCATCTGTAAGAAGACTGGGCTCTGGGCACTACATCCCCTGTTTACTGTTTTCCTTTGCCAGACAGCCTCCTACCCCACCTTCAGGAAGTTCCTGCCTCCCAAACACTGAAAAGCCTCAGAGGAAGGATGTTTTCCTTCCAAAGTGGGGGCCTTTGTGCTACACACTCCCTCATGAAGCTCTGGGAGGCTTATGCCGCCTGTGAGGGGTGCACGTTAGCACAGGACCGTGATTACAGCCACACACTTTTTATAAGAAAAGAGACCGTGGCCTTTTCAGAAGGTCTGTTCAGCCAAGCCTCTGTTTTTCCACCTCATAGACCCTTACAGGACCCCTCAGGGACAACTGTTGCATCCCTACTGCACTGAGGCTGGGAACGTCCAATGGCTTGCCCGTGAGTGATCACTGAAGGTCTGGCAGTAAAGGTCTCTGATAAAGGAAAGGAGGCTGTCCTGTAGGAGTGAGCCAGGAGACCCAAGTGGGCTTAAGGGGGAGCAGGGGCAAGACAGAAGCCTAAGGAGAGAAGAAGGTGTACAGTCAGGGTCTCAAAAGAAAAGAAAAGGAAGCTTTGGCCCTGGAGAGTGTAAGTAGTCTAAGGGACTAGGCTTTGGGGGTAGGCACCACAGAAATGACTTTGAAAATAGGGTTGTTTCCATAGGGACAGACAATAAGTCAGGTTGATGTGGCTAGAGGCTCCTAGCGGTGATCTTTACGTGACGTTTGTGGCGTAAATGACATTTGGAAAGTAAAGCACGAATGGACCTGACTTCCAGGTTTTATATGCATCATCTTAATTTATAAAGAGACGTGCCAGTTCTTTGCTTTTCATAGCCAAGGAGAAATGAGATGCTGGGGCAGCACTGTGTGATTGGAGAAAAATGAGTTTCCTGTCATAGCTCCAGAGGGGAGGGCACAATTGAGCCAAGATCTTGACTCTGCTGGGAGACACACCCTGAGTCCCCAAGTTTGTTGTGATCTGATCCCATACTGGAAAGTCCCCAATACTTCATGCTCCCTGGTGCTTTGCCAATCTGTGCTGCCTTCCCTACAGGGTGCATCCCTACGTTCCCTGGCCATCACAGGCTCCCACTCCCTCCTCCTACACACAGAATCTGAGAGTCACATGAAGTTTTGGCAGACTCAGCTCTGGCTCCATGTATGGGGCTCCATGGGCTCGATAATCGTATCCCTTGGAGACTCACAAGTAGATACTGCCCTAGAAGGATGTTCTGATGGAAAATGAAAAGGAGGGGGATGGATCAAGAAGGAGCTGAAAGAAGAGGTGTGAGCATGAGAGAGGATCCCATGAGATCTGGACCTATCTGGATAAGGGTGCTAAATTTATAAAACAGGAGTCAAAGACTTCCCGAAGAACGGCAGAAGTCTAGTGCAGTCCTTCCTCTCCAGTACTGTGAGCCCGCTCATCTTCCAATCCCTCATCTTCTGCCCTCTGCCCCTTCTCATCCCAGCCCTATGCCCATTCTAGCCTCCTTTCCTTATTGCTTCACTGCCTGGTACTCAGCCTAGCTCACAGCTGTACATCGCTATTGTGCTCAGAACTTAGACTTGCTGAGGGCAGTCTCCTCCTGGCTCCTCAACAATGCCCACTCTGGTGGCCCTGAAGTGGGTGTAAGGGTGGGGTCACTGCATGGCATGAGAGGAGCAAGGAGCAGGGCAGGCACGGGAGAGATGGCAGGACGGAGAGATGGAGAGAGGGCTAAGGGGGCAGGTAGGGAGAGCCTCCTCGGGCTGACTGCCCCCTGGATCATTCACCCTAGGGCTCAAGCCAGACTCTCTGAGCATGGGAGGCTGCTGGGAAGAGGAATGCACTCTGGCTCTGCGTGCAACACTCTCACCCCCCCACCCACAGTGACCCCTTCCCTCTCTTGCTGGCTGCAGCTGGGCTTTGGGGCTAGGAAGAAATTTCTTGGACTGGGGGGTGGGAGCCACGTGAGTGTGAGTAGGGAAAGCCGAGAAGCCAGAGGAAGAGCAGAACAGAAGAAAAGGACTGAGAGATGGAAGCTGGGCCCAGGAGCACCTGGGGCAGTGTGAAGGAGCAGGAGGAGTCGGTGGGAGCAGCCCCCATCCTAGGTGAAGCTGAATGGTTTGTTATCTTTACCCACCAAAGCATTTACTTTGGTTAGTCGCCCGATCCACAAACACTTTCGAGGAGATGACATTACCGAAAGGGAGGAACATCTGCATCAGCTCAGCGTCCCCAAACTCCTGGGGCAGATGGTAGATGAGCAGGTTACAGCCCTCGGGCCCTGCGGGGCGGGGAGGGGCGGGGCAGGGAGGAGGGGTGGCAGGGTGGGGAAAAGAGAGACAGAGGAAAGGTGAGTTAGGCCGTGCAGCAGGGAAGGAGGGCGGGGCTAGGAGGTGGAGGCTTTTCCAAGTCCGGGAGTGACTCCCCAAAACGGGAGAGTTTACTGAGCCCCTAATATGAGCTACAATCTCTACTTGGCCTTGGGCACGTCACTGAACCCTTCTGTGCCTCCGTTTAGCAAAAGGGTCAATCACGGGTACCCTAGCAGCTCTGGGGCTGGAAGGGCAACCAGAGTCAATTTTGAAAATGGGCTTAATATGCCAAGGTCTGATCAACTATGTCCCTGGAAATGAGGTGCTGAAGAAGGAGCACAGAGCTTGGGGGTATTCTCCTGTCCAGTCCCTGTTCTGGGGGGGCTGAGGAAATGGCACTCCCTGTGCTGACACTTCCTTTCTCTCCCTTTTAGCCTTAGCTCAGACTGACCAGCCAACCCAAGAGAAAGGCTCATAGACCCAGGCTTCACATAGATCTCTTTCAAAAGCCCCACTGCCCTGCTCCATACCTTCCACTTTCCTAGTCTTGATGGCAGAAAGCAAGATTTCCCCTTCCTGATCTAGCACATGGCACAGGAACGGTTTGAGGGAGGCCCCTGAGCTGCCCCCCTCATCTGAACAGCAGCTGGAAAAGCTTCCGCCCTGGGACATCCTTGGGCTGTATGGGACTCCCTTCACCTTTGCAGCACCCTCTCACTTAGCTGTCACCGCTTTACAGCTGAGAAAACTGTGTTCCAAAGAGGTCCAATTATCGCTCAAAAGTCATAGCTGGGGCGGGGTGGGGGGAGGAGAAGCCAGGATGTGAACCAAGTCTGTAGCTTTCATCATGTGAGCTTTGCTTTCTGCCTATCTGTCAGGAACCATAGCCTGCCTGGATAATTTCCAGATAAAACTGTGTTTCTTTTGCAGTGATCAGACGGATTGATTTTAACTACTTAAATAAAAATCTTCCCAAGTCTGTATCCTGTCATCCTAAGAAGCATCTGCCGTCTATCCCTTAGACGCTGAGGTGGACTCTTCAGGGCAGAGGCCACCACTGAGGACCAATTTAAGTCATACTCCTTCAGATTCACACTCATGGAGCAGAGTGTGAATTTAGGGATTTATAGGCCTTTAAGACAGAGAGATGAAGGAATCTGACAGAGAGGTAAGCAAGGAGCAAACGTTGTGAGGCCTTTGGGGCACAGCTCTCTGCTGTAATCCTACATCAGCAATAATGGGACTCCTGGTCCACCCCTGTGGCTCTGACCTAACTGAGGAAGGTCTGGACTGCAGGAAGGTAGGCCCCAAAGCCACAGCCCCAGAAAGGGCTCTTTGGGTACAACAGGCCTGGAGGGACTGCTCCCCTTGACCAGCTCACTGCTGGGGACCCAGCTGGTACTCAGCCACTGCAGGGCCCACAGGCCTCTGGGGTGCTGGGAATGGGGAAATGTGATGATGTAGTCCTCAGGAGTTGTCTGATGCACAGGAATATGCCTTTCGAGGTTTAGGAGGAGGTGGTAACTGGGTGGAGAGGGGCTGTGTGTAGACATTTGCTGCCTGGGAGAGCAGACCTAAGTGAGTATGGTACACACATCTCTCTAAGGAACTGCCCTCTGTTCTAGCTGTGTAAGCGATGGAGTGGAGGGACTTGTGTGGAGTTACCTAAACAGGACGTGGTCAGTCTGGGAGTCAGACCCAGAGGGGTGTAGTTCGAAATCCATACTGCTGGGGGCTCTCTCACCAAAGGGATTTGCATCAGTGTGTACTCAAAGTCGTCTGGAAGTAACGTAAACCCCAGATCACGGACACTGTCTGCTTCAGGAGCAGCCTGCCTGACATTCGGAAACCACTGGAACCTGCCATGTGGACTGCTGGGACAGACTTGATGGCCTCGTTACAGGTCACCCTTGCCAGGAGGTGAAGAAGATGAGGTTTGATTGCGTTCCTCACTCTCAAGCGCAGCTTTCTGTGATAAGGCCTCTGGGATGATTGTTTATAGAGTGTCCTATCTTGCTGCTTCTGTGGCTTTTGGGTACTGGGAGGAAAACTGATGGGTGCTACCATGAAATCTCTGCCAAGGCTCTGGTCTTGCTTGTCCTTTACCCACACTCTGACTTCTGCCCATACACGACCGTCTAGGGAGGGCATCCCGCTTCACTGACCTGCACTGTTCCCATCACACACCTACCCGTGGAGCCTGTCTGGGAATGCCACCTCTCTCTCCCCATCACCCGGAGGGGACATGCATCCTGCACAGGATAAACCAGCCTCCTGTGCCTGCTCCTTCCAGTCCTGAGCATTTATCCCTCCCTGCCCTCCACGCTGACCAAGCCCTACCCCTCAGGGAAGGCAGGTGGACTGTACCTCCTGCAGCACCTCGCTTCCCTGACCACCTGAGGCTAGCCACCATCTCCTTCTCAGTGCCCAGTGTTGCAAAGGCTGCCCCGTTGCTGGAGCCCCACTTCCCAGCTCTGCTTTGGGAACACAGACGATGGACCTCAGAAGATCACTACAGGGGATGGACCTATGTGTTCTCTGGAGCAGGGACAAGGCCTCCACCAGCAAATACATTCTTAACTGCTTCTACTAGGTCTTGTTTGGAAGAATGACTGGCAGGGCTTGCCGCAGCAGGAGAACAACCTCCCCATTTTCAAGGGTCAGTTTTTAAAGACCAATGTATATACATGTGAGCTGTGTCAAACCACAAATTACAGTAGGGAGTAGAGAAGGTGCCTTGGGCATGACTTGCAGGCTCCAGGGTCATGGTATCCCGTCACCTGCCCCGGGGCCAGGTTACTTTGACTTGAGGGCTTCTTGTAAGATGCACACCTCCCTGTATGAATAGGAGAGGACCTCTTCTAGCCCAGTAGCTCTCCCACCCACCTCCGTGTTCACAGCTAACCAAAGGCCTGTCAGAGGCCTGGGGAGGCCAGAGGCCCAGGGAAGCAGCCTCTTCAGGGAGTGGGGAGGAGCAGGGTTGGAGACTCACCTTCTCTCTGTTGCTGGGGAATCATTGGCGGTGGCTGGGGAAAGGCCTGGCTTATCTGACCATAGGCAGCAGGGTAGGCAGCTGCTGGAGAGCCGAAGAGAAAGTCAAGAGATGGCAACAGGGCGCAGAGAGACATAGACAGGGTGGGAGGCCAGAATAAAGAGAGAGATTTCAGTGTCAGTTAGCAAGAGCCACCAGCCACAGGCTGTACAGCAGCTCAGGCCGCTCAGAGAAAGCATCTCTCAGTTTGGGTTACCTATGGAGGGGAAATGTCAGTATGAAGAACAGAGATTGCTCTGTGTGTGTGTGTGTGTGTGTGTGTGTGTGTGTGAGTCTGTGTATGTATGTGTCTGTGTATGTGCCTGTGTGTATGTGTCTGTGTGTATATGTGTCTCTCTATGTGTGTCTGTGTGTGTATGTGTCTCTCTGTGTGTGTCTCTGTGTGTATGTGTCTCTGTGTGTGTATGTGTTTGTGCGTGTGTGTCTGTGTATGTGTCTCTGTGTGTATGTGTCTCTGTGTGACTGTGTATATGTGTCTCTGTGTGTGTATGTGTCTGTGTATTTGACTGTGTGTATATGTGTCTGTGTATGTGACTGTGTGTGTGTGTATGTGACTGTGTATATGTGTCTCTGTGTGTGTCTGTGTATGTGTCTCTGTGTGTATGTGTCTCTGTGTGACTGTGTATATGTGTCTCTGTGTGTGTCTGTGTGTGTATGTGTCTGTGTATATGTGTCTGTGTGTGTATGTGTCTCTGTATATGTGTCTGTGTGTGTATGTGTCTGTGCATGTGACTCTGTGTGTATCTCTGTGTGTGTATATATCTATGTGTGTATGTATGTCTGTGGGTATGTGTCTGTGTGTGTCTGTGTGTGTATGTGTATGTGTAACATGAGGGGGCCGAGCCTGCTTGTCGGGGGTTTTCTGTCCTGCCCGGCCCCCTAGCTGTTTAGTCCCAGAGTAAAATCACACACAGATCTCTGTAAGTTATAATGCTGATTGGCCCGTTAGGTCAGGCTTCTTACTGGCTAACTCTCACATCTTGATTAACCCATTTTTCCAAACTATGTTAGCCATGTGGCTCAGTACCTTTTTCAGTGGGGCAGCTCACATTCTGCTGCTTCGGTAGTCTGGGAAGGAGTGGGAGGAATCAACTTCCTCCTCCCCAGAATTCTCCTGCTCTCCTTGCATCATTTCCACTTCCTGTCTGGTTTTCCCACCGACACCTCCTGCCTGGCCAATCAGTGTTTATTTGAAACATGATTGACAGATTACAGACAATTCTCCCGCACCATGTGTGTGTGACTGTGTGTATGTATCTATGTGTGTATGCGTGTGTATGTATGTGTGTGTGACTGTGTGTATGTGTGTGTATGTATGTCTGTGTGTATGCATGTGTGTGTGACTGTGTGTGCGTATGTATTTGTGTGTATGTGTGTGTATGTATGTCTGTGTGTGTATGTGTGTGTGACTGTGTGTGCGTGTGTATGTGTGTGTGTGTATGTATGTCTGTGTGTGTGTGGACGATCATAGCTGACCTACTTCTGCTCAGATGATACCTGGTGGGGTATGAGGAGCTGCCTGATTAAATGTGGCTGTGCGTTCCCCAGGAGTGTGCCTGATGTTCTCTGTGTTTGGTTGGAAAAGCTTTGGTCAGAGGGAGGGCGGAAGGGCTCTCTCTCCTAGCAGCCCAGCCTGGCTCCCACGGCAGCAGAGTCTGAGGTTAGAGCTGGGAAGTGCCCAAAAACTTTAACAATAACTTTTCCTAAGATCCCATCTTTTTAGGTAGCCCCATCACCCACAGGGGGGCATCACTAGATCTCCAAAGTCAGTGAAGAAGTGCCCTAGCCAGGCCAGACAGTGGATGCGGGCTGGGTAGGGATGACAAGAGTATGTGGCCAAGTGGTGGGACAAAGGGAGAGACTTGACTGACAGTTTGGCTGGATTCTAAGACACCTGGCCTGCTGGCCTCAGGCCACCTCTTCCTGCCTGCCTGCCCATTTTGCTGCCTCTCCTCTGGGCTCCAGCTTAGTTGCCTGGATAGGAGAAGCTTCTTCCCCTCTAGAGCTGCTCCTCCTCTCATATCCAGGCCTCTGCTTGCTGGGTCAGAGACCATGGACTGCACAGAGCAGCAACCAACGTAGCTATGTAACATGGGACTCCCAGGCACATACCAGGTAGTGCCATAGGGACAGGAAATCAAATGTGTCACCGCCTATCAAGGGCAAAACTTCACTCTGGCTCACCAACTCAAGGAGTTCTGGCCCTCTCTCCACCCTATGTGAGGGCACCATGTCGAGAATCCAAGGTGGAAGACAGCCCGGATGGTGATGAAAGCTGTGCCAGCTCCGCCCTCCCTCCTTCCTTCTAGGAAGTAGTAGCCCCCACTACTCCCTCCCTGTCTCATGCAGGCCTGGGACCAGGGCTGGAGAGGGAAGGTGCGGTGTGTGGAAAGATGGGTAGAGCTGGTGAAAGAGTCAAGAGGTTGCGTGGATACTAACGTCCTGCGTACTGCTGCACTCCAGCGTAGGCCTGCTGCAGGGGGTCCGCTGCGGTGGGGCTCTGTGCTGCAGGAAGCCAAGACAGCAGAGGTCAGTGACGTCCACCCAAGCTAGCCCCTGCCCCCACCATGCCCAGTGTGGCTTTGCTGCCCTCCCTGGTCACCACAGACTGGTTCCAAAGCAGGACAGCTGAGACAGTCGCCTTGAGAGCTGGGTCCTGTTGGAGTTCTCTGATCTGTACCCAAAACCTAAGTAGGTACTGAACTGTCTGTTCCAGCTGGGAAGTGCATAGTGAAGCTGGCCTGGGGTGGGACTGAGATCAGCTCATGCAGAAGCTTGTGAAGGCTGGGGAGAGATGCCAGACCATGAGGGCCTTGGTTGGGGAGACATGAGGGCCCTGGCCCTGGAGAGGGACTGAGCAGCCAAGGGTGCTCACTCAGGTTGAGGGGCCTTTGTTTACAGATTCCCAGAAGAAGGTAGGAGCAGTGAATGAAAGCTCCGGAAGGACTCGCCCTGACTCTGGCCCTATGCTTGGTGGGTTTTTGTCATGTGACACAAGCTAGATTCATCTGGGAAGAAGAACCTCAACTGAGAAAATGCCTCCATCAGATTGGCCTTTAGGCAAGTTTAGGGTATTTTCTTGATTGATGGTCAATGTAGGAGAGCCCAGCTCATGGTGGGCAGTGTCACCCTTGGGAAAGTGGTCCTGACTTGTATAACAGGTTGAGCCAATCATGGGGAGGAAGCCAATAAGCAGCACTACTCCATGGCTTCTGCTTCATTTCCTGCGCTAGCTTCTTGCTTTGGCTTTCCTCAATAGAAAGCCCATGATACTTAGGCAAATAAACCCTTTCCATCCCAAGTTGGTTTTTTATCATGGTTATTATCACAGCAATAAAGAGCAATATAAATCACATCCCTTGGGTCGACCAATAGGGCTTGGAGAAAGATACCTCCCAGAGAAGGCAAGGAGCTAGAAGAATGGAAACTTTACCAAGACCCTCAGGGAAACTGGACTGGGGAGAGACTTGCTTTGCCTCTGGCCTTTGTTGGTGCTGAGGGGATCTCAGTAGAAGAATTAAGTATGGACGAGTAGTGGGTGCAGCCCTTGATTGCTGAGGCCCCTGATGATTGACATGAGGAGTGGGCTGGCCCAGGGAGGTGAATGGAGATAGATGTCCACACCCAGGGAGGATCCAGTCCCACTGTGTTGGGAATAAACTGATTAACCCTAGATGGCAGAGGAAAAGCCCCTGGGCTCACATGTCCTTTAACCCATACCAGCCAAGCTGGCTTCAATGCCTTTAATGAGAACAATGCCCACTTCCTTTTGAGCTCTTGTTCTCGGGTAAAATTCCACAAGGGAAACAGCACCTAGGGCTCAGAGGAGCCTCTAGAAAAGCCTGAGACAAAAGTCCCTAGAAATAAGCAGGTGACAGATATAATAAGCACTAGGAATTGGGGGCATGCACAACTCTCCACAGGTGGGGGCTCTGCCTAGCAGGAAGGAGCTAAAGAGGGGTCATAAAAGGTATTTCCTGCCTGGGGCTGTCCCAGCCCAATATCCAGTCCCTACTTTTCTCCATGGTGGAGACTAGAACCAAGAACCCCAAACTGTGATGCTTGGCAGAGCTAATTCCTGCTCCCTCTTTCCTGTCTCCTTTGCTTTCTTCTGAGCTGTGTAGATAACAGTCAAGTCTGGTTTGTTATCTTGGTCTTTCTGGATGCTCACCCATACAGCACCTTTAGGCAGGTAAGAAACGGTGTCCTTTCTAACAGAGCAAAGTTTGAAACCATTGTGCAAAACAACCTGTACCATTTAGAGGCAGTGCCCAGCTTACTGAGAGGGGCTCAGCAAACGTTGCACTGGGAAGAAAGTATAACTAGTTCTCAGTGCTTGTCAGAGCCAGTCCTTTGAAGGGGGTGCGTGGCTCCTAAGACCACACACATTGTTGGGTGGTGCTGGTGCAGGCCTTTGACCCCAGCGCTCATGGAGACAGAGGCAGGTGGATCTCTGTGAGTTTGAGGCCAGCCTGGTCTACAAAGTGAGGTCCAGCACAGAGAAACCCTGACTCGAAAAACTAAAACCAAAACAAAACAAAACAAAAATCATACACGTTCAGTACTTCCAACATGAGCAAGATGGGGGAACAGAGGAGCTACTGGGGCTAAGATTGCAGAGCAGCATGCAGAGACCCCTCTCTGCTTTTCTGCCTAACGACCTCATTAGTAACTGCCAAAGAGCGAACATTTTGAAGGATCTCGCTCATTACGGTGGCTCCAAACTCTGCATTTAAAGATGGTAAATTAATTTTTTTAATGTACTACTTTTCTTCTTCCCTTCCCGCATCCCTCCTCTGGTTCTGTCGGGGAATTGTTTATGGGATATGGCAGATTGTTACAAATAGGGGAAAGAAGCGTCTCCAAGCTCCATCAGAGAAATGGCTCACAGATGCTGGTGAGGGTGGGGAAGGAATTGGGGATCCAGATGGACTTAGTGGCAGTGGAGAGTCGGGGAAGAAGATGCCCAGATGTGCCAGGGGTGGCATCTCCCAGCCACCATGCCTGAGATTAGCACAGTCATTTCTGCCTCCAGCATGCCAAGCCCCACCCCCTCCACCACCTGGGCCAGGCAGGAGTCCCCATGCTTACAGCACACCAGATCTGCTGGGCTCTAAGTCCCTCTCCAGACCCCTGCAGGCTGAAAGCTGCATTCTAGGCCAAGCACTGGAATCAAGGACAACTCTGTGTCCAGAGCTAGGCAGTTCTTCTCTCCCATGTTACTCCAGCATGGAGATCACACTCTACTCTTGCTACAGCCGGTTTATACTGCAGTTTCCTTCTAGACTGTGAAATCCGAACCTCCAAGCTGCTAGGTTTTGTCAAGACCCATAGTGGTTTCTGATGAGCGTGAATCTGCTCCGCCTAGATGGGTCTGCTGCAGACTGGCCTCTTGTCCTTAACTGGCCTGCTTCTTAACAATTCTGCTCCTTCCAAGTAGGCCTTTCGCGCATCTGGATCTCCGGAACAGCCCACCCTAGAGCTGTGCTCTCTGTCTACCATAACTGTTAAAGTTTGGCATGGGCTTCCTCACCAGGAATGCTCCTGGGGTTCTCTAGCCTGCAGAAATCTTCCCTTGAGTCTTTGGCCATCTTGAATCAGAGGACATTCCCTCTTGATTGGCTTGAGTGTGATGCTTAAAGATGGAGTAGGACAGGAGACATGGTGCTCTCAACTAAACTTTGACCTCCTAAGGGACAATCCAATGTCCTGAAATCCTAACATCTAACAAAGACTGGGTTTTAATGTCCCCTTGCTCTGATAGCCAGAAAGGAGGACTGATGTGGGATTCTCCTCTGTATGCTGTGAATATGTTTTATTACCATTGGTTAATAAAGAAGCTGCTTTGGACCTATGGCAGCGCAGAATAGAACAAAGCGGGAATTCCAAACAGATAGAGGAGAAAAGAAAGTGAAGTCAGAGAGATGCCATGTAGCTACCAAAAGAGAAAGATGCCAGCTGCTAGTCAGAACCTTACCAGTAGGCCACAGCCTTGTGGTAATTCACAGATTAATAGAAATGGTTTAATTTAAGATGTAAGAGTTAGCTAAAAATATGCATAAGCTATTGACCAAGCAGTGTTTTAATTAATACAGTTTTGTGTGATTATTTCAGGTCTGGGTGGCTGAGAAGCGATCGAGCAGCCTCTGTCTACAAGGGACAGTGCCTTGCGCATCTCTGTTATGTGGCCACTTGATAGTGTAGGACTCTGGACCTTGTTTCCCTGCCATGATGTCTGTCATCCTTCCTGTGAGAAGGAAGAAGTGCTTCAGGACAGCTGCATGCTCTTGTTATGGGAGGATCACTGAATTTGACAGGAACAAAGTCACTTGGCAACCAGCAATGGGCCTTCTTGTTTATCTTTAGTTCCATGTCCTGAACAGAGACCCAGGAGCTGGCTTACGGAACTGTCCGGAGTGCTGACCTCTGTGTGTGCATGTGTGTGCCAAAAGACTGGACTGGGTAGACTGTCAGTCAAAGTAACTGCAGTTCCTTCTGCAATGACTCCTTCGTTTCTCGTCACTAAATGAGGTTTTTCTTTTAGCTTCTTCCCTTCTAGTTATTGCAGTTCAAGCTCCCAGTTTGCAGTTGCTGGCCCCTTTTCTTCACCCTGGTTGTACAATGGCTCCCAGTGTTTTTTCTTCCTGCACACAGCCCCTGGGATGGACCTTATGGATCAGAAGGTACTCTCCATGTTTCCTCTCTCATTACAGGTTCCCTGAAGCAGATGCTCTGATCATATTGGTGGTCCCACCAGGGAATGGCCAAAGGAGCTCCCACAGCACAGAGGACTGGAGTTGCGCATCCCTTTTTCTGACAGTGAGTGAGAAGGGGGAAGGGGGAGCACTAGACATGCTTACCTGGGTATGGGTGGATGCCATTGGCAAACACAGCTTCCGCAGCAGGCTGCCCATTGGCCTGTGGGGGGAGGCCGGTGAAGCCATTCACCCCAATAGGGGATGGGATGCTAGGCACAGCTGGTGCAGTGATGCCTGGAGGGGTGCTGCCACCTAGTTTGGGGTATATAGAAGGATTGGGAAAGAGGTAAGGGAAGGACAGTAAAAGTGAGAAAGACTGAGTCATGGAGTTCTACCTTGCTAGCTCTCAGGGCCTGGGGACAGACTTGGACCTTTCACAACCACCCTGTTTTGTTGGTAAACTATGCTTGGCTTAATTTCTTGAATGTAACAATTTATCCCAGATTATTCATTCTTCAAGGCAGAGCCCCCATGCCATGAAGACTTTTCTAACACTGATGGCTATCCTTGACTCTAGAGCACACAGACCATTTTCCATGTCCTTGACTCTATCCACACTTGGCCCCTTTGTTCTTTTTCAGTGGTTCTTGCCCACTCCAGCTAAGTCAGGACTGAATGACTCTTTTTGGGTCCATGGGAGGCCTATCTGCTTTTCCAAGAAGTCTTGCTATTCAACTGGAGGAACATTCTAGATTCTTACACAGAGGGAGAAAGGACAATTTTGAGTCCAATTTCAGCCCTATTTGGCTTCGTCCAGCAGAAGCAATAGCGGTGGTCATGGTAGTAATAATGATGTTAAAGTCAGATTACAATTGCATGTACTTTCCATATTCCAGGTGGTGGATATCAAGATGTTAGACTATTATTGTCCTGAGGTCCCAAAGGGTGGAAAGAGCCTCTAATTGTAGCTGAGGCTAACCCACTTCCCAGACCCATGAGTGTCCCTGACATTGGGGAACAGGGCTAAATTACTGGGTGATGCTCTATTTAAGTCCAGAGATATCTCAGTCTACGAGGCTTTGATCTGGAAAAGGAACAGCTGGACCTCGGAGATATTGCTGCTGTGGTCTGGCACAGAGAGCCAGAATGCTTGGTAGAAGAGAGCCCACCATATCAACCCCTCCTTGGATTTAGAGCCCAGGGCTTCTCAGCGTTGACATTGTAGTCACCTAGAGGCAGATAGTTCCTCTAGGGAGCTGCCCTGTGCACTGTGAGATGTGCAGCAACACCCTTCCGGCCTCTACACACTAGATGATAGTTGAGCTCTCTCTTCTGAGCTGTGACAAACAGAAAATGTCTGTGGGCACTGCCAGATGGCCTAGGGGTGGGAGGCAGAATTGTACTGGACAAGAGTCAAAAGCCAACAAAAACATTGTTTTGTGAGATGGGTTGGTTGCAGTGCCCATCCGTGGATGACTCATATGGTTCTCTAGCTGGTTGTGTAGTTTCTTGGAAAATGCCCATGAGTCAGGGTTGGCGTGAAGAGGGAGGCCAAGACAACTGAACAGGAAGGCTATGCTGACTTTGAAATGGAGGTGTCTTCATGTCTCTTTCTTGCCAGACGTTGGTTACTACAGATAAAGATAGGTTGACTTTAAGGAAGGACTGACAGCTTGAGAGAAACTGTCTCACGCTGGAATCCTATTGTGGATTCCATGGAGCCCACATCTTCCCTCCTACAGGTTAGAGCATTTTTGAGACAAACTACCTGAGCCTAGACCCTGTGTGTTCTTACTGCAGAATGAGTCACTAGTCATTGTAATGATGCCCCAGCCTGGGCCCTCATACCCTCTCCCCAGGCCAGGGACCTGCTGGCTCACCTGAGGTTGGGGTCATAGGTGCGGCTGCCAGGCCGTTCATGTTGAGGGCCGCCATCTGCTGCATCTGGGCGGCAGCGAAGGCAGCCATGGGATTCAGGTAGCCTCCTTGTGCAACCGATGCCATGAGGGCTGCTTGCTGCTGCATCAGCTGGGGCAGAGGGAGTGGAAAAAATATCACGCGCTTCCAGGGGGGCAACCCTCCCACCAGGGGCTCAGCTCCTGGAGACCAACTTCTGAGCCTCAGGGAGCTGGTACAGTCTCTTGGTCACTACCCCTTGAAAGCCCTGAGGCCTCCTCAGGGCTTGCTTGCTTTAGTCTCCACTTCCCTGGGAACTGACTACTTAAAACAAGGAACAGTAAGACCTTTGGCAATCTAAGTAGTGCAGGGTAGGGAAAGGGACTATGTATGCTAGCCAGCAGGTCTGTGTAAGGCATGCGGAGAATGGCAGCCAGACTCCTACATGCCTATTGAATGAGTCCTGCACAGTTAACAGGGGAAATTCTTGCTCAAATTGCTCCCATAGAAGAGAGAGGAGAAACATGACTAGACCTTCCAATGTTATTGCAAAGGTGAGCGGGGCCTGAGGAGGTTGTGGTAAGTAGTCAGAGCTAGACTGCTCAGGACGTGAGTAGTGTTTGCATGGTTAGAGCCTGCAACCCTGTGACCCCGTAACTCTGGAGGACCTAGGGGCTACCATGAAGGGACGGTGACTACAAGTCTGGAGGCAGAAGAGGGTGCTACTATTGGAGAGGATGCAACTGTGGAAGAAATAAGCTGGAGAGCCAGAGGCAGAGGGAGAGTGGGTACTCGAGGCTCCGGGTCAGCCACTTCACACAACCCCTGTCAGGAGTGACCAGAGTCCTGCGGAAAACCCTGGGAGTGGAGCTTGTACAATGAGAACCAGACGCCTGACCATTATCCCACTGGTGCTTCCCAGTCTTCACACTGATTTGGGGAGGGGGTGCGGGCGACCCATCTGGCCTTCTCTAGGAGCCCTTCCTTGAACATCAGGACAGCAGCCCACCTCCTCCTGGAAACGATCCTCACCTGGATTCTCCTAAACCCTGAAGCTCCCCTCTCTGGGTTTATGCCTGACACTTCACTCTGGGAAGAGAGCAATATGTTTGGGTAGGCATCCCTGTACTCTGGGGCTCCGGGGAGGGGTGTTTGAGCTCCAGAACAAATCCCCGCCCACCCTTGCCCCCACTTACTGCCTGAGCGTAGGCACCGTAGGCCCCGAAGGGGATGGCCATGGGGTTGAACATGCCCATCTGGCCAGCCATCTGCTGCATCCGCCGCATCGTACGCTCCTTGTCAGTGTCTGCAAACTTGACCACCAAGCTGGAGGAGGCTCCCTGCAGCCAGGGCGGCACATGAGATCTGCATGCCCCAGCCTCCACCCCAGTGTCCCTGCCCTGCCTCGTCCCACCCCCTCCCCTGTACTCTTTGTTGGGGGTCACCCAGGAGTACCAAGTCTCAATTCCACTTTTTCTGGGTTACCTCAATCTACCCTGATCTGAGAAACAGTGGTAAGGGTGATGAGACCCTGCACATACCCCGGAGGGCCACTCTCAGGCATGGTCACCCTGCGCGCACCCCCGAGGGTTACACTCACAGGCATGGTCTGACTGCCGTGTAGAGCATTGATGGCGGCTTGTGCCTCAGCGTGGGAGGAGTACTTCACAAAGGCGCACCCTGCGGGAATAGGACAGATTGAGCCATGCCCTTGAGGACCCATAAAGAGAGAGACAGAGAGACAAACAGACAGAGACATACAGAGAACGTCAGAGAGAGATGTGGCACAGAAACAGTGTGAGTAGAGAAGATGTTCCCCACGAGGAGCATAAAATGTGAAGGGACCAAGACAGTGATGGAAAAGGACACATAGGACCCACGAACTCCTCCCCTCTTGGTTTCTACAAGGACCACCTGGGGGCGCTAGCATCCTTCCCAGGCCTGTGTCCACACGCGCGCGAACACACAGACACACACCCTTGCTGTTGCCGTCCGGTCCGCGCAGGATAGTGCACTCCTCAATGTTCCCGAAGGCCTCGAAGAGGCGGCGCACGTCGTCTTCGGATTGCTGCTTGTTGAGCATGCCCACGAAGAGTTTTCTATCTTCTAGAACAAAATTAGGAGATGCTTACCCGGGCCAGGGGCGGAGCACTGCGGGGGGCGGGCCGCCGGCAAAAGGGCGCGGCCAGAGAAGGAGGGTAACGGGGTAGAGGAGGAGCTTGGCGGGAGGGGGCAGAGCTCACAGCCAGAGCAAAAGCAACGGGGAGGGTGAGGGAGGGTCTCGGCGGGAAGGTAGGAGCGCACAGCGGCCAGAGGTGGGTGGGGTGGAGACAGGAGCTTGGCTGGAAGCAGCGAGGTTTTATGGTGGTGGGGGAGGGGGGCGCGGGCCAGAGGCGGGGGAGCAGAGCGTCCAGAGCAAATTGGCGTCAGCAAGGAGTGGGAGCTGGATGGCAGCGACTTCCTCTGCCTCCCTCTGCTAGAAGACAGCTCTCTGAGAAGCCTGGTCCCTGGTCTGACTTCTGGCACGCGGGCCATCTTGGCTACCCTGTAGTTCCTTCCTTCTTCTAAACTCCATCTTCTCTAGTACAAGAATGAACTGCAATGGGCAGTCATCCTGAAACCTTGGCTGGTGCCGTTTGCTCTGCATGGAGGGGTCCCGGGCAGAGTCCTCTCCTAAGACAGTCTCTTGCCAATGTGCCTTGTACCTCCTCTCACTGCTTTGCCTGCGAGATTGTTATCTGTCTGTTTTCCTCCCCACCATGCTATCTCCGAGTTGCTACCCCGAGAAAAACAGTAGATATTCTGCAGCACAGGGTCAGGACCTGTGGCAGCATGCCCTTTTCAAAGCGGAACGCTCTTTCCCTAGCCATCCCAGGTCTTTCCCCCACCAACCTGGGGATGGATTTTCACTCCTCGCCTAACCAGGTGGTGATGTGTGGTCAACTCCTGGGTCAGGAACCGGTAGCCTGGCCCTCTACCATATATGGACAGTCAAAGTTCTGTGCCTGCCGTAGTTTGGGTCATGGCAGGGCTGTAAGTTCCAGTCTCACTTCATTCTTTAGGGTCACAGTGCCCCTGGCTCACCAATGGCAAGCTCTGGGGTGGGGGTGAACATCAGAAACCAAGAGACCGAGACAAATGAGAGAGAGTGTAAAGGGCACAGTGGAGACGAGAGGGAAAATGGCAGGGGAAAGGATTGGATGAGTAGAAAGAAGAAAGAAAGAGGAAGAATAGAGCCCTTAGAGAGAGGAAGACTTAGAGAGAGCCCTTAGAGAGAGGAAGACTTAGAGAGAGCCCTTGGAGAGAGGAAGACAGGAGCCCTTAGGATTGCCTTGGAAAGCAGCCACCCACAAAGCTGAAGTGGAAAGGGAGCGTTCAGTACTTTGGTGCGGCCACTGAAACTTGCCTCTGCTCCAGCCAGGTACCTTTTAAAGGCTCCAAGTTCGTGGACGTGACTTCCAAAAGACTAAGACTAAAAACCTGAAGCTTCCTAATATCTGCCCCACATGCTTTAAAAATCCCTTCCTTCCCTTCAGAAGGAGGCGCATGATGCTTCCTCCAGGATGTTGATTTAAATGCTGGAACTCAGTTCCCTGCCTCACTCTCCTGATGTCTGAATGTATTCCTTTATTATCATCGCGACAGCTTTCTGATTGCATTAAAATTCATCCACAGTGCCCTTCTATTCCGCCCCTCCCCGTTGCCAGTGTTGTTTCTCCCCCTAATTTGTACTCCCCTCCCCTGAGTCTCCTTTACTATGTAGCTCTCTGGAGACCATTCTTAACATGTAGGTTCCCAGACTTCCCCTTTGCTGACCGACTTGATGATGCTGGGGAAACTGCAACCCGCTCACTTATCCCCAAAGCTACAAGACAGCAAAACAGATCTGGCTCCAGACTTTTTCCTTTCTGGTGAAGCTATACAACGCAGCGGTTCCTATCTGGATCCTGAGTGTCACTGGCTTGCACTCTTCCTTTCCTTTTGGATTTTGTTACCATAGAGTTAGTCCTAAGACTCGTGTTTCAGATGAAGGACTGGAAGGATTGCGAGTCTGGCGTGGACCTCCTGGGCAGGCCAAGCGTGTCATGCTCCTGTCCTCCCAGCTATATAACTGACTACTACAAGTCTCAGTTTTCTACGTCTATAAAATGGGGACAATGCAGCCCTTTGGCCTATGGCTCTGAGAGTTGCTGTGAGGACAGTGCCTGGTGAGCAGTATTACAAGATTATTTGGGATTCTTCATGCCATAGGAAGAGGGAATGGGTTGCTGATTCTCCTTGGATTGTTCCGCCCTGATTTGACCAAGAAAGTCGCCTCTGTTCTGGAATGCCGTGAACTACAGCCAAGGCCTCAACTACCTCAGCTTCTAGATCCCAGAGCCCTTGCCATCACTCTATAAACTGGGAGTGTCAGTGTCTGTGGGTGTGGGCAGGGGAGTGGCATCCCAGAAGGTAGGTGCCGGTCCCAGAGAAGCTGCTCAGCTCTGAATCTGGATGTCTTATCCCCATGGAAAATAAACTTGAGTTATTAGAGTACCCAGGTAAACGTTAGGTGAAGGTGTTTATAGCCGCCACTGAAAGGGCTAGGCCAGAGCATCCCTGCCTTTCAGCTCCCCTACTCAACCATCCCATCCAGCAGGGTTTATGGAGAACTTACTGTGTGCTGGGGAAATGACTCTGAAGTGAACCCTGGGTATAGGGGTGTCCTTCCGGGTTTTTCTCTTTTTGTAGTTGTAAGGTTGTACATAGTTCTGCAATCCCGTGATAATCCAAAGCTTTTGTATTATGGGTCCCAGAAACTCTGCCATAGAGCCCCAGAGATTAGTCACACCTAGATTCCCAGGGGATGATGACATCCAGCAGGTCTGGACCACAGACTAGTACGGGCTGGCTGGGAGAACAGGCACGGCTACGTCTTGAAGGCCCCCAGGAGGAGGTGGGCTAGAGATATGACCGGAAGTCCAAGCAAGGACTCCAGAGCCTCTTAAGCTGCCTCTGCCACCTGCTCCCACGTGATCCCATACCTACCCTCTCCCTCCCTCCCTCTCTCTCCCCACTCCCTGCCAGGGCTTATATCTGAAGAATGTGCTGCTATCCCTTATAATAATAACCTTGTCTCAACCTAAGTACCCTGAAATTCTTTTCTTCGGTGTTGTCAAGGATCTAGCTCTACCTCAGTGGAGGTTCCTTCCTGTGGCAGGGCTTTTGCAGTGAGGGACCCCGGGACCCTGTTTCTCATTTGACTCCTGTCTGTTCTCCCCCCCCCCCCCCAACCAGCACATAACACCTCCCATTCATCCAGCCTGGGAGATCTTTATTCTCTCAGAACCGCAATCTGACACTACGCTTTCTCCATCTATAAAATGCACTAGGCCACGCCTCCTGGGACCCTGGTGGAGTGTGTGGAAAGGCAGCAGAGTCTGCTTGCAGGAATCTCTGGCCGGCCTTGTGGAGAGATGGAGACTCCTGCACTCACTCTTTTATCTTGCCTTGTCTTCAGATCAGGGTGCAGCAAGACAGGTTCTCAGTACAGCAGGAGAGTTTGCAACCCACATGTATTGCTGCACCACTAGGCAAAAGCCTTGGTAAGGACAGCCCTTATGGGAATTTCAGGCTCTGCTGTGACTTAGCTGGTCTGCCCCCACCCCAGCCTCTCCTAGGGAGCATCTTGTTGACCACACAGGGTGCTTGGCCCAGAAAGGCAAGGGGTGGTGGCAACAGCACCTCCTGACTTGTCAAATGCAAAAATTTTGATGCTAATCTTCAAATTCCAGTTAAATTTTCAAAATTTGAATTGCTCACTATCATCAGCACTGAACAAGACACATATATATTTATATAGATATATATGTATGTGTATGTATGCATGTATGTATAGTCTGGACAGAATTTTTTTATTCTCATCCCTCCAGGTGCATGTTGGGGATGCTCAAGCTAGGGAGACCCTTGAGCTCAAGGGGAGGAGGTGGAAATAAATTCTTTGTGGGAGCCATATGTGGCCAGTGAGGAGATGGGCAGGGGAGATGCCCGGGCAGCAAGTTGGGAATGAAGATAACAGGTCACTCACACATCTCCAGTGAAGGAGCTGGAAGCTTCTCTCCTACCCACAGAGCTTTGGCCCAGGTGTGTACAGGACAAGGCAAGAACCGACCAACCACTCTCCTGGGCAGAGCATGGGGCAATGAAGCATCCCATACTGGACCTTCAGAGTCTCTTGGGTACTTGTCTCCTGTGGAATTCCTCCCTGTGGAAGGCACCTCTTCTGGGCAGAGCTTGGAGTGCTGGTAAACCCCTGAGGTCCCACGGGCATGAATTTAGGGGCAAATACACTTATGAATCAATTGAAACCTCCCTGAAGTGGGGCGCAGGGAGTCACAGCAGACATAGGACACCCCACATAGGAAGCGCATAGGAAGTGAGGCTCTGTCAAGTTCTGCTTCTAGCACTTTCTGGCTAGGTAACCGTGGACAAGGTATGCATTCTACCTGGGCAGAGCCAAAGGAAGATGAAGTAAATTGGACTTTATGACGTTCTTAGGACAAGGCCGAGCACAGAATAAATGTTCAATGAATGTCTGTTACTGTTACTGCTAGCAGCCATGGCTGCCGCTTACCCACAGGGGTGCTGGGTGGTAGGTAAGGTGTGGAGCACTGGACAGTCTTGCCAGCCCAGACAACCTGAGAAGCCACATTTTTCTTAAATCTTCCTGGTCACCTGGCAGTGTTTTCAGCACTGAGAGGCCCCCAGCATCCTTTACGATGCCTAACTGGATGGAGCCAAAACAAGGGAAACCTCTGCTTGTTCTGCCTAAGCTACACTGGGCATCTCCACATGACATTTCCATTATTTCCTCAAGATCATATCAGTCAAGCTTCTAGGGCTCCAAAGCGACAAGTAGGGACCACACCAACTCATCTGAACCTGGATCTGTGTGTTCAGATTTTAAGGTTCCCGGACTATACCCTATGGTATACTCTGGGCCCAGAAGCCCCTGTGGTCTCTTCCCTGTTTCTCGTGGTGACCCCCTCACTACCTACAGAGACAGCACCCAGCCTCAGCCCTGTCCTCTACATAGAAAGGCCGTGCACAGGGATGGATGTCAGAGC